GGAAGGAAGGAAGGAAGGAAAAAGATGTGCTGATAAAAGTTAAGGGGGCGGGTCGGTATCGTCCACCAATCAGAGATGCTGTTACTGTCCTGCATGAACTGTCCAATGAGGAGCATGGATAGTCAGAGGGTGCCGCCATTGCCGCCCTGTTTGAGTCCTGTGTAGCTGCAGGGAGGTTGGTGGTGGCTCGGCCTGGTCGTTGTGCCTTCTGCTGACTGTAGGCCCTTTAGAAGGAGCACTGCTCACGTCTGAATCAGGAAATGGTGAGTGTGCCCTGGGCTCCTGAAGTCATGCGTGGCGTGTTGGTGACGCTGCGGAGGCTTTGTCCCAATGGGATGTCACCTCCCTGACGTTCGCCTGATCCTGTGCTGCAGTCTGAGGTGAAGTCTGTCACCGGCGCCCTCTAACCCACGTGCGTTTTAATTCGGTGCAGAGCAGGCAGCGGGGAGCTTGGGGTCTGGTCCCATGGGTGCGACCCTGCCCCTTCCCCCTTCTGAAGCAGTGTCATCTCGTCCCCTGTGCTCTCGGGTGAGACCGCGCCTCCAGACTTTGCATCGCTGGCGAGTTGGTGTGACGCTCTCTAGCGTTCCGACTGTTATGAGGGGACTTTGATAAGCACTATTACCTTTTTTTACTCATTCTAGGCAAACCTTTTACCAATGAACTGTAACCCTATCCCGCTTCCTGGTTTTTGCTGTTAGTGTTAATGCGGGAGGATTTGTTTACGCCCTCTGGGCTGGGAGTGGGAGAAAATGCCCAGGCTTTCAAGGAAGAGAGGATCTTCAATTTGCTTCAAACTTGTGTGTATTTACCGATCAATTTGGGAATTAATTGTTTAGGCAAAGGTGGAATTTTTGGAAAATGTTAGCATTGCTGGCTGTGAAAACGCATGAAATGAAGGTGAATAATTTGTGAAAACAAAAACGTGGTGGTTTCTTTGGCTGTGGTCTTGAATAGAAGGATGGGTTGTATCTGTTTCCATCTCACTGTTAGGAATACTCGGAAGTTGTGTATATCTTTTTTATTTAATTTTAGCTTGTTGTATGTGACTCAGAATTTAACCATTTCTTACATATTTTGCATTTCTTTTGAGGTTTTTTTTTTTTTCAAAATATTACCAAGATGGTCCTCTGCTATTTTTTTTCCATCTCCTTTTTTTTTTCTTTATTTTTTGAGTCTCTTGTAACCTCCCCTAATTTATGACTTTATTCATTTGCCTCTTCCCTCCTTTTTTGTTAGTTTGACTAGAGTTTTGCCTATTTTACTGTTTTCTAATTGAACCATTTCTTAGATTGTTATTGACTGTGTGTATTATTTGAGTCAATTTCATTAATTTTTCAACTTATTTGTTCTTTCTTTCTGTCTTTGCTCTTCAATCTGGCTTGTTCTTGTTTTCCCAAAACCTTGTGTCTGAGTCATTGTGTCTGAGTTCTCCACGTGGGTGGGGGAAGCTGGGGTTGTTTTTTTTTTTTGGTTCTTCTAAATTAAAGATGAACTTGGAGAGTAACCAGAGGAAAAATTGATCGAGTTTGAGGTTGAGAGGGGGAAGGCAGAAAACAGGGCAGGCGAGCTATAAATATTGGCATTTGTCCTTTGTGGTAGGAGAGAAGACAAAACGAAACAAAAAGATGCCTTTTAAGTTCAACACAGAGATCAGTGAGGAAGCCCAGGGTGTTAAGGAAAACATACTTTCTAAGTGTTGAAACTTGTATCAAGTTCAGAGGGACCTGAGTTACAGGGTTTTGTTTCATACAGTGAGGGATTACACCAGAGATAACAGGTTAGAAATAGAATAGAGACAACTTACTGAGAAAGGAAAGGCACTCCCAAGAATTAACAGATGAGTAGTGAACTGAGGAAGGAGCCCCCAATTTGGTCTGAGAAAATGTTGTCCATGATTCGTTTGAGACATTCGAAATAGTTTGTGTACCAGGAGCTTTTCCTGAACATGTTCTTTTCCTTAATAAAAGACCCAGTAAGAAAGGACTTAAGATCATCCTTTGCTGACTGGCTTCTTTCTTATGTTAATCTTTAGATTACTTTTTAAACTTTTGCATTGTATATAAACATTTGTAGCTATGAGCTTACTTACTTCTTGCTACTCTTTGTTTTCCCACTTTTATTGAAAATAGATTTTCCCCCTCACTATATATCTTGAACGTCAAATGTTATTTCTCCTCCCTTTACCCCTCCCAGTTCCTCCTCACCTCCCCTCCTATCTGGATCCACTCCTTTTCTGATTCTCATTAGAAAACAAACAGGTTTCTAAGAGATAATAATAAAACATAATAAGATAAAACAAAAATTAACACACCTAAATTGGACAAAGCAAACAAAAGGAAAAGGGCCCAAGAGAAGGTACAAGAATCAGATACCCACTCACATGCACATTCAGGAATCCCTTAAAAACAGGAAACCATAATATATCCAGATCTGTGTAGGCCCTGTGCATGCTGTCTCAGTCTCTGTGAATTCATACTCAGATTGATTTTTAGATGGCCTTGTTTTCTTCTTGTTCACCATCCCCTCTGGGTCTTATACTCTTTCTGCATCCTCTTCCAAGGGGTTCTCTAAAGTCTGGGGGAAGGATTTTATAGAGACATCCCATTTAGGGCCGAGTGGTCCAAGGCCTCTCATTCTCTGTATAATGTCTGGCTATGGGTCTCTATATTTGTTCTCATATGCTCCAGAATGAAGCTACTCTGATGATAGCTGAGCAAGGCACTGATCATATTTTTCTTCCTAGGTCTGTGTTACCTCACTCATAATGATTTTTTTTTTAGTTCCATCCATTGTGAATTTCATTTTTTTCTTAATGGTTGATTAATACTCCATTTTTTTGTTTGTTTGTTTTTATTCATTCTTCCATTGAGGTACATCTGGATTGTTCCCAGCTTCTGGTTATCAATAAAGCAGTAATGAAAACAGTTTAGCAAGTGACCTTATGTAGGATGGAGAGTCCTTAGAGTATATGTCAAGGGAAGAACCACCACACTGTTTTCCATAGCTGTGCAAGTTTGCACTCCCATCAGCAATGGATGGTTAAATATTCCTTTTACTGCACATTTCACTAGCATGATCTGTCACTTGTTTTATTGATCTTAGCCATTCTGAGAGGTAGAAGATGGAATATCAAAGTAGTTTGATTTGCATTTCCATGGTAGCTAAGGATGTTGAATATTTCTTTGTGTTTTAGCCATTCTACTTTACTCTTTTGAGTATTCTCTGGATGTGTATCCCATTTTTCATTTGAGTTATTTATTTTCTTGATATCTAGTGGGTTTTTTGTTTGGTTGGTTTGTTAGTTCCGTTTTGTTGTTGTTGTTGTTGTTTTGCTTTTAGTTTTCACATACCATAGGATATACTACTTTACTAAATGTCTTTGCCATTCAGAAGCTTCACAGTATCATGAGGTTCCATTTAAGAATTGTTGCTCTAATTGCTTATGTTAATGGTGTTCTATTCAGAAATTTTTTCCTTATGCCGTGAGTTCAAGGCTATTTCCCATGTTTTCTTCTATCAGGTTCAGTGTATTTGGCTTTATATTGATGACTTTGATCCATTTGGAGCTGAGTTTTGTGCAGGGTGATGAGTATGAGTGTGTTTAAATTCTTTTATATGCAGCTATCTTGCTTGACCAGCACTATTTGTTGAAAATCCTCTTTTTCTATTCTGTATTTCTGGCTTCTATTAAAAAGCAAGCAAGCAAGCAAACAAACAAACAAACAAAAACTCAGGTGTCCATAGGTGTGGTGGTTTGAATAGGTATAGCCCCATAGACTCACATGTTTCATAGGACTTGCCTCTATTAGGAGGTATGGCCTTGCTGGAGGAAGTGTGTCACTGTGGGGCAGGCTGTGAAGCCTCCTATGCTAAGCTATACTCAGTGTGGCACACAGTCTCCTTCTGTTGCCTGGGGATCAAGATGTAGAACTCTCAGTTCCTGTAGGACCATATCTGCCTGCATGTTGCCATCCTTCCTGTTATGATAATAATGGACTAAACCTCTGAAACATAAACCAGCCCCAATTAAAAGTATTCCTTTATAAGAGTTGCTGTGGTCGTGCTGTCACTTCACAGCAATGAAACCCAAACTAAGATAATAGCTGTGTGTGTTTATGTCTGGGTCTTCAAGGTGATTTCATTGATCATTGTGTCTTGACCAATATCATGCTGTTTTTGTTACTGCAGCTCTATAGTACAACTTGAAATTGGGGATGGTGATATATCCTTAGCAGTTCTTTTATTAGTCAGAATTGTTTTTGACTATCCTTGGTTTTGATGGGGATTGCATTGAAACTTTAAATTAATTTTGATAAGATGATCATTTTTAATATATATATGTATGCATATATACATACATATATATACATATATATGAGGACTACTGATTTTTTTTACACAGAAGTTCACTTTTATTACATGGCTCAAATTTAATTATAAAATATGTAAATGTAGCAGAATATAATACTCAACAAAATATTATATATTCACAGGAAGTATGATTAGATACTATTTAACTGCCTTATGTTATTTGCTTAAATTCACTTAGCTATCTTTTTACTTTGTCTTACAGTAACAGTTACAGTAACAGAATCATTCATTTGGCATTTTTCTTTTTCATATCATCAGAAGAATTGAGTTCTTTTCACAAACTTTAGTCTAGTAGATACTCAAATTATGGTTCTAAACTTTTGTAAATAACTTACTCATGGTTCATTCTCCTGCATCAGAACCCTCTGATTAGGTCTTTTGAAGCAATTAGCTGATTTTCATTGCAGCCACTACACGATTACCTAATATCTCATACAAGAAGATCATACCAGTACAAATATGTGTGCGTGTGTGTGTGTGTGTGTGTGTGTGTATCCGTGTGCATGTGTGTGTGTGTTCAGCTAGGCAGATTTCTTTTTTTTTTTTAATTGGATGTTTTATTTACATTTCATATGTTATACCCTTACCTCTTACCCCACCCACCCAGGAATCCCCTATCCCCTCACCCCTCCTCCTGCTTCTCTGCAGATGTACCCCTACCTACCCCCCCACTCCCACCTCCCCACCCTCAAATCCCCACCCTCTGGGGCGTCCTGCCTTCATGAGACCAAGGATCTCTTCTCCCACCTATGCCCAGCAGGGCCCTCCACCTTTACATATACAGCTGAAGCCATGGATCCCTCCCTAAGTGCTCCCAGGCTGGTGGTTTAGACCCTGGGAGCTCTGGTTGGTTGGTATTGTTGCTCTCCTCATGGGGCCGCAAACCCTA